GTTCATGTTCATAAAAAAAAAATATGCAAGACAAAAACTAATCCACTAGAATGTTGTTCATGTTCATAAAAAAAACAATATGCAAGTTAATAGGTTTTCGAAAAGCAAAAGGGTGACATAACTTGGATCAAGGTACATATTCAAATGGCATTTTAAAATCGGCTAATCCTTAAAAGTTATAACTCTCAATCTGATTTCTCCTTTGTCTCCAATAAGGCATGCATTATGACAAAAATATTTCATATTCCAAAGAAGGAAAGAATCGAAGATAATGTGTTTACATAAGATTCGAGGTTGTTAAGAGCAGCAACTGCCTCTTCGGGGGAGCCCATAGTGACAAACGCCAAGCCCCTGTTTCTGGTCTTGCTATACATTGAAAGCTTGACCAAAAAAAAAAACCGCATCACTCGAACACCCAGTAAAGAAAACCCATGTAAGAAAACAACAAATAAAATAAATTCAAGAAACAGAAATACCAACCTCAACATCTACAACTGTCCCAAACTTCTGAAACAGAGCCCTAATGTCTTCTGCAGTACAATTCCATGGAACATTCGAAGCAAGCAGTCTGGTTTTCGAAAACTCTTCTTCTTTTTCTTCAGCCTTTGATTGGTATTCGGTGACAACATCATCAAGAGAAGAGGAATCAACAACCGGGTGGTCTTGAGTTGTGGAAGAGAAATGCAAAAGGAAATGCCTGAATTTGTTGTTGTTTCTAATTGGAAAACAAAGAGAGTGAGATAATGAGATGTTGTTGGTGTTGGTATTAAAAGTAAAGTTGTAACGGTGGTTATGGAGAGAAGATAACTTGGGGGTTATTAGATTAATGAAGAAGGAAGGCGTTTTTGATGAGAGACAACAAAGAGAGTGAGATAATGAGATGTTGGTGGTGGTTTTAAAAGTAAAGTTGTAACGGTGGTTATGGAGAGAAGATAACTTGGGGGTTATTAGATTAATGAAGAAGGAAGGCGTTTTTGATGAGAGACAACATGGAAGACGAAGTGAAGCCATGAGAGAGTGAGTGAGTGAGTGAGCGAGCGAGCGAGCGAGGAACCACGCTTCGGGTTTTTTTGTCTGATAAGGTGCCTTGATATTGTGATTGGATAAGGAGGCATGAAGATCATTTGCTTGGGGGCTATTAAAACGAGGTCGTTTTTCACGCAACATGACAATGTTTTCTCTGTTTTTTTTTTTTTTTTTTCTCTTTAATTTTTTTCACTTTTCTTTCCGTCTATTTCAAATAGCACTTTTGTGCTTAGCATCATTAGCTAGCTATAAGAGCATCTCCGGTGGACATGCAGATGGAGAGGTAAATTAAAAAATATTTTTTTTTAATTTTTATTTTTTTAATTAATTATTATTGAGACACGCAATAAAAAAAAATAGCTTTTCAATTTTAAAAAAGCTATTTTTACAAGTTTATGTAGAATAGCTAAAATTTTATTAATATTGTTAATGGCTATTTATATAGTCGTTAGTCAACAATGCTTGTTTGTTCTTTAAAAACAAGAAAAGAAACTTGTTTTTTTAAAAAAAAAACTTGTATTGTGCCTCACTCTTCTCTCAAATTTAGAAAAATAAGAATCAATTATTCTCTAGTTAATTAATAGCATCGATTATGTCAATTAGCTGAAATTAAAAGGTATGTTTATTTAAAAGCTTTTTATATTTACTCTTTAATATCTCTTGATTTTGTAGATCTTTTGTTGTTAATTTGATATTTGTTATGATTTTTATTTCTTTGTTATTTTGTGTTTTTGATATGGGTTAAGGAAAATAATTTTTTATTTATGTTGCTATCTTTAACAAAATTAAGATGAAGTAATAATGATAGCTGATATTAATAAAAAAAAATATAGAGTGACATATTTAAAATTTATTTTTGATTATTTGTTTTAATTTGAGGTTAATTATATTTTGTCTTATTGAAAATGCAATTAAACCAGTATATTAATCCTCTCTTAGTTCCAAAAAATAGTCAAATTGTAATGTTAGAACAAGTAGGATGCAACGCTTGTTATTAATTCACATGTATGTAAATTAAAAAATTGCTAGACATTGAATGTGCGTCTTTTTTACACTCTTTTGTAAGGTTTTAACTTGAGGTTTTTTTTAATATAGATGGATTCAAATTTTCCAAGCTCTTTCACCAACTTTCTTATGAGTGAGTTAGAAGATATTCTCTCTCAACCAAGTGATTCTAATCAATTAATTGATGACTTAACATACTTTAATTTAAATATCCATATAAGAAAAAAATCACAAAGAAGTAAAAACTTTTCACTAGAGGAAGATTATTTACTTGTCTCTATATGGCTAAATATAAGCAAAGATCCAATTACAGGAGTTGAATAACAAACAAAACAGTTCTAGGCTTGAGTACATGCTTACTTTAAAGAGAATGGAGAAAAATTGAATAATCGTTCCCAAATCAGCATCTCAAATAGATGGCAAGAAATAAATGGAGAAGTCGGTAAATTTGTTGGATTTGTTACTTAAATTGAAAATCGTCAGCAAAGTGGAATAATCGAAGAATCAAGGGTAATTTTAATATTCGCTTTCATGTGAAATAGTCAAATTGTAATGTTAGAACAAGTGGGATGCAATACTTGTTATTAATTCACATATATGTAAATTATAAAATTGCTAGACATTGAATGTGCGCCTCTTTTACACTCTCTTATAAGGTTTTAACTTGAGGTTTTTTTTAATGTAGATGGATTCAAATTTTCCAAGCTCTTTCATCAACTTTCTTATGAGTGAGTTAGAAGATATTCTCTCTCAACAAAGAGATTCTAATCAATTGATTGA